CAAGAACGGGCTTAAATACCGACTTATAGCACAGTGGAAAAATTACAGGAATTTTAGGCTTAGCTCCTCCCTACAAGGTGTGTGTTGTCACAAGGTGTGTGTTATCACGAGGTGTGTTATCAAAATGGGAAGAGTACCAACAACAGCCTTGGGACAAGGAGTTCCCGCCAACAGCTTCAGGCTAGCTCAAGGTGCCTTGGGGTCCTACAGGTCCCCCTTTCTTTAATAAATTAACACCTGTCTTAGGTGACAGAGGACGTCAGCATTAATTCCTTACCCATCATTGGAGAGGTCACCCAGGCCCGTAACCTTCCTGTCTTAGGTTGGATATTTGCCCCCTCTGTCTTACCCGTCACTGGTGAATAGTTTGTCAGCCACACGTGGGCAGAGGCATTTTCTCTTGAGCCAAAGACAGTATCTGTCTTGTTAGAAAGTTGGCCTGGGCCTGTTTAATGCTGTGGCAAAGTAGCACCAAGTGTAAGGGCTACAAACCCCAATGTTCTGCCCACAAGTTCAAGTCCTTGTAAAAGGCCTTCTGCATTGGCAAGTGGCACTCAGGTCGCATAGATGTTAATGATCTGCATGGCTAAAGCATGTGTATAACTTAAAAACTCATCAGGATTTCTGGAGAAAAATGATGCATTAACACAGATATGTGTAAAAGACAGAGAACAAGAAGCCATATGAGCTTCTCACAAAAATTCAAGTGTTCCTATAGGAGGTTAGTTTGTAAATTTAGTTTAAAATGCCAATTTGTACTAGATAATTGAGTGTGTTTTGGGTAGCTAAGGCTTAAGCCAAATCACCTGCTAGATGATCCACTGTGCTTACAGTATTTACAGATTGGGAGAGGGCTATGGTAGAAACTGTTGCTTCAGTGGCGAAGGCGGCACTGGCAGCCATGATCCTGAAATCTCCTTTCCTCTCTGCTGCACACCTGGGGTACATGGCACAGGACAACTGTTAGAGTCGGCAGACCTGCTGAAAACAATTGAAACTTTCTCCAAAATTAGTAGCATTGGTTACAACAAAAAGAATGGAACCAGAATATAGTGCCTAAGATGAAGGTGAAATTCTTGTCCTTTGGATCAGTGTAAATTTATATAGCCGCTTGATCCAAACTATGATTAGTGGTCAGGAAAAAAGGCCACATATGGCTACTCAGAAGCACAGGCATCAGGATGGGTAGATTCTTGAAGATCCATCGGACCTTTTTTTCTGGCTGTTACAATCACCATCGCTCCGCATATGGTGAATCAGCCGCTCAGGCACCCAAACAGGGTTATCTGCGTCTTGTGGAAAGACACAAACTGACCCTCGGGACTATACTAGAACTGGGTCAGGGCCACACCATTTTCCAGTAGTGACATTCTTCCACATAACTGAGCCATAGTCAGATGACCAAGGGCGCAATGCCTGTCGGTCGCAGATCGAGCAGCACCATCAATAGTTAAAAAATTTAAAATGTATAGGACAAGAGAAAGGTGATTATGAGGAGATCCTGTAAACTCCCCCTTTTTTGTTTTATGAAGATAGGTTTTAATTGTGCGATGTGCACGTTCCACCATGGCCTGACCCTGAGGATTATAAGGGATACCCGTCTTCTGTGAGATAAAAAAATGTTTGCAAAAAGAATTAAAACCCTTACTAGTATAAGCAGTGCCATTATCACTTTTTAATTGTCTGGGCATTCCCATATAAGCAAAGGCTTGTAAACAATGGCTCTTAACATCCGTAAGCCTTTCTCCAGTATGAGCAGAGGCAAATATGAGATGAGAATGGGTATCCACAGATATATGAACAAATTGTAGTCGACCAAAGGAAGGAACATGGGTAACATCCATCTGCCATCATTAGGCGTGACACCACGGGGGTTAACTCCAAGGTGTGGAACAGGTAAGAACTCTGCACATAGGGGACAATTCTTAACTATATCAATAGCTTGGTCTCTAGTAATTTTAAAATGGAATTTAAGTGACCCTGCATTAAGGTGAAAGGTTGTATGAGCTTTGCAGGCTGCTTCATACCCAGACTCTCTCATCATCATGATGGAACTATCTGTTTTAGTATTAAAATCAGCAATGGCATTTCCTTCACTTAAAGGGCCAGGCAAATCAGAATGTTCTCGGAGATGTCCTACAAAAATTGGATGGGAGCGCCTCCATAGTAGGCTTTGTATGGCTAGTAAATGTTCTTGTACACGAGACACTGGAGCTATATAAGCAGCAGTTTCTAAGGGAGCCAATATATGATACACATATTTACTGTCCGTGTATAAGTTAAATGGCTCATCAGAAAAACGTACTGCAGCTAGTTCTGCAAATTGTGCAGACTTCACTTTAAGTATAGAGCATTTGATAACGGGAATAGAAAAAACTACTGCACAACCATTTGAAGAGCCATCTGTAAATACATTACGGGCCCCCTTCAGAGGATTTTGGGAAATAACCTTGGGAAAACATACAGGGTGATTTATGGAAGGAAAATGACTATCAAAGCAGCAGGGTGTGGAACACAAGAAATGTGCCCACTCCTCATCAAACTGTTGAAGCCATTGAATCTGTTGTTGAGTATAGGGAGTAACAATTACATCCGGCATCTTGCCAAAAACTTGAATACTAATTTTGTATGCCTTCTGAATAATAGAAAGCATTGCCTGAGGATGAGGTCTAACTGTCTTTCTTGGGGATGCATGTTCATGCACCCATAATATAGGACCAGTTTGCCAAAATACCGCAGTAGGGGAATACAACTGAAGCAAAGACTAATAACATCAAATTCTGAGAATAGTCAATATAATTTAAATGTGCAGATTGGAGACATTTTTGCACAAGCTATATACATTCTTGCGCAGCAGGCGTTAAGGTGCGTGGAGAAGTGGGATCAGAATCTCCTTGTAAAATATCAAATAATGGTCTAAGCTGCCCAGTGGTTAGGGCCAAACTAGATTGAACCCAATTTATGTCTCCCAATAATTTTTGAAAATCATTAAGGGTGGTCAGATAATCCAGCCTTAAAGTAATCTTTTGAGGACAGATACCAGAAAATAACAATTGATGACCCAGGTATTGATAGGGAAATTCTTGTTGCACCTTTTCTGGGGCTAATCTTAAGCCCGCTAATTGAAGATTATGTTGCAATTCCCCAGAAGCCTCATTCACTTCCTTAGAATCCGGGCCAGCTAAAAGAATATCATTCATATAATGTGTAATATATAGGGATTGAAATTTCTCTCTAATGGGGCAATGGCCAATGATACATAAATTTGACAAATAGTGGGACTATTGGCCATTCCTTGTATCTCTGAGTTTGAGGCTAGATGGTGTAAATATCAGAAGGCAGAGAAAGATCTGAGCAGTTGTTTCCATTCCGAGGTCCTGAGAAGGAGCTGAGCAGTTGTGTCCATTTGGAGGTCCTGATATGGTCAATTTCAGAGGCTGGTCTAAGTCTACAGGACTTTGTTTTTAACTTCTTTCTCCCCTGAGTGTCTTGATATAAGGGGCTAGTCCTCCTTTGTGAGCTTCAGCTGCCATCCATAAAAGGTTCCATATCTAAACTGGGGAGCAGCTCATGCTTTAAGCCTGGCTGTGAGGAAACAGTCTCTTTTATAATTTCTCTGAAATCATGGAAAGACTCTCCTCTATAGGCAAGTATGTGGCTGGATTTAGAGCCTGGTACTACAGCTGTCATCTTCTAAGATGAGGAGAGGGCCTGGCATTTCCCTCAATGGCACATCAGAAAAGGGCTCTATGATGAGCAGTGATGTGGAACTGTAACATAAAACATGGATAGGAAGACAGAACCCATCCTTCTGCTGCATACAAGAAACACATCTAAGCTTCAAAGATAGACATTACCTCAGGTTAAAGGGCTGGGAAAAGATCTTCCAATCAAATGGAACCAAGAATCAAGCAGGTGTAGCTATCCTAATATTTAACAAGTTAGACTTCAAACCAAAATTAATCAAAAGAGATGAAGATGGTCATTTCGTATTCATCGCAGGAGAAACCCATCAACACAAAGTCTCAGTTCTGAACAGCTATGCCCCAAATACAAAGGCACCCACATTCATAAAAGAAATGCTACTAAAACTCAAAGCTCACATAAAACCTCACACACTTATAGTGGGAGACTTCAATACACCATTCTCACAACTAGACAGGACCACCAATCAGAAACTCAACAAAGAAACAAAAGAACTAACAGAAGTTATGTCTCAACTGGGTTTAACAGACATCTATAGAACATTCCATCCAAACACAAAATAATATACTGTAGGACCCCAAGGCACCTTGAGCTAGCCTGAAGCTGTTGGCGGGAAATCCTTGCCCCAAGGCTGTTGTTGGTACTCTTTCTGTTTTGATACCACACCTCGTGACAACACATCTTGTGACACACACCTCGTGACAACACATCTTGTGACACACACCTCGTGACAACACATCTTGTGACACATACCTCGTGCAACACATCTTGTGACACACACCTCGTGCAACACATCTTGTGACACACACCTCGTGACAACACAAGGAGGAGCTAAGCCAAAAAATTCCTGTAATTTTCCACTGTGCTATAAGTCGGTATTTAAGCCCGTTCTTGCCCTTCAATAAACGGCATTCGGCATTTGCCATTAAAGAATGACCTGCTGTCTTGTCTTTATTTCAATCTCTAGGCCTTCGCCGGATTCGTGGAACAGATTGTAGCACGGGCGCTACAATATACCTTCTTCTCAGCTCCACATGAAACCTTCTCTAAAACAGACCACATACTAGAAGAGAGAGAGAGAGAGAGAGAGAGAGAGAGAGAGAGAGAGAGAGAGAGAGAGAGAGAGAGAGAGAGAGAGAGAGAGAGAGAGAGAGAGAGAGAGAGAGAGGGAGGGAGGGGGGAAGGGAGAGAGAGTGTGTGTGTATACACGGCACGGAGACTCGCGCGCATGCGCACAAGGCACCATTGCGTCCATGAACGCATTCTGCGCGTCCATGAACGCATTCTGCGCGTCCATGAACGCATTCTGCACCACGGTTACCCAGTCAGAACTCCATGCTTTAGCTCACTGGGCATCTGCAGCCTTGGTGAGGACACTGGAGTGGGACACTGACTCTGCACCACTGCTGAGGTACACTGAGGTAACGCGTGTGACATGACTTCTGTAAGGAAGACAGAACTGGCGTTAGTGGTAGGGGGCAGGGTAGCGAGGCAGAGGCGAGGCGGCATTTATCTGCATTGTAGGTCATTTCTCTGACTTTACCTTCTGACCACAGCTGTGCCCTAGGTACAATGACCGAGTCAGTCCATCGGGACGATTTAGGAGCTAGCATTATGCGTATGTGTACAGGCCTGCAAAATTACAGAAATCTCGGTGGAGGTGAGGGGGTGGAGTTTGCTGTAATCACCTTTGTGGGGATGCAGAGACCCAGCATCTTGGAAATCCAGAGCCAAAACACAAGGTTTTACCAATAGCTTTGAGCTATTCTAGTTTTTTCTATTTTAACCTGTTCTCCACAGTGGCCCTGTTTACATCATCATCTGTCCTACCTCTTCAGGGTAACAGAAGAGAGTGTGTCTTCAGTAGGAAGGCATCTTAAAGGTGAGTTTCTCTTTCACCTTTTGAAAATTGAGTCATTATAAGGATAGCATACACTAACATAAATTATAACCCCTAATAATTTTATTGTTGAATAAATGCTAACGTGAATAATGGCAAATGTACATATTTTAAATCACAAGTAACATACATATGAAGGAAAGCGTGGTGGTTGCTAAGAAGTTCACGAAGAGAAACAGCTTCGGATAGTCAAGAACAATAACCCTCGATGAGCATGGTGTAGCATTTGGCAGATCTGTGAGAGGTGCATGGAACTCCAGTAGAGGACTGGTGGTGTGGGTCAGAGACCAAGCAGGTGTGGATTCCGGGTGGTCCTGCTTGTATAGGCAGGTCTAGTGTGCTCAGAACAGCTCCTGGACTGTTGGCTCCACCCTCTGTCCCAGTGCTCAACTGAAGTGGTGGGACAGTGGGCAGGGTAGGGCACCGAGTAGAGGGAGGGCAGGCTCTTGGGGGGGGGGGTGCGTGTGTATCAGAGCGAGTGTATCAGAGCAGCAAGAGTGCTCTTGATGGGAACAGGACACAGAGCGAGCAAGATCTGGGGCCAATCCAGGGAGTTCCCAGGGAAGGGGAACTGTCTCCTTTTTAAAAAAGAAAAAAAAATCAACTTCCCACTTCTAAACATATGTGTGTATTGTTTCTAGAGCAGTGCATCCTCCTAAAAATGCATGTCCATTCACAAACGACTCCAAAGCTTAGTTTGTGAATGGAATCCAGCACCAGGGATGTGGGTCCATTGCAAAGAACCCTGGATGCAGCTTCTTTGCTGAATTTTTTTACGCATAATGTCCCCGCCCACTGGTTGTTCATGGAGAGGATGCATTTCTATTTTTTTTTCTTATTTTACATATCCATCCCAGTTCCCTCTTCCTCCCTCCTTCCCATGCTCCCTCAACCCCCCTCCCATCCCATTCCCCCACACATACTCCACAGGGAGGGTGATGCCTTCCAGGAAGGATCATCAAAGTCTGTCAAGTCATTTGGAGTGGGGACTAGGACATCCCTCCTGCCTCTAACTAAGGGAGTATCCCTCCATGGGGGATGTTCGAGGATGTATTTCTTCATGCCATACAATTATGTGAGTGTTTCATGATGAAAGCCAGCCTCCGAACATCTGACATTAGATTGTTTAGACAGTTTATAAAACAGAAACTTAAGTATGAAGAAGGAAAGCTGAGTTTTCTCAAACATGCCTATAGTCTACAGAGCAAGGTCCATAGATAGATGATAGATAGATAGATAGATAGATAGATAGATGATAGATAGATAGATAGATAGATAGATAGATAGATAGATAGATAGCCAGCCAGCCAGGTGGTGGTACAGCACACGCCTTTAGTCCCAGAACTTGTGAGGCAGAGGCAGATGGATCTCCTTGAATTCAAGGCCAGCCTGGTCTTCAGAGTGGATTCCAGGCCAGCCTGGTCTACAGAGTGAGTTCCAGGAGAGAGAAACCCTGTCTCGACAAACAAACTTCAATTAATTAAAATTAATTAAACAATCATTAAAAGGGACTGGAGATGTGGCTCAGTGGTGATGGGGTACTGACCTAACATTTATAAGGAACTGGATTTGAGCCTCCGAGCAAAGAAAAATTAATGAACAGATGTGGAAAAGTCTTGATCTTTTATAGTAACTGATAAGATATTAATTATTACATATTGCTGCATGCTTTGGATAGATTATCTTAAATTTGGGACAGCCACACCTCATAATCTTTCTATTCCAATTTTAGCAGGAAAGAAACAGACACCATGAGGTTAGTTACTGTCACTCAAGCTCTGACATTCAGCAATGGCAGGGGTTCTAGCAAGTTAACATTATTGACTGACAGCCTAAATGCTCCATCTCAGTCTCCAGGTCTGTTGACCCTGAGTGATCCAAGTCCCTCCCCCCAAAGTCACCAGGTTGGTGTTTACAGACTGGTCAGTCTCCACCTAAAGCAAAACAAAGCGTTCTATACAGGTAAGATGAAGATTGTCTCTTGGGATCTGGGGGCAGAGGCCAAACGTTTGGAGACAAGGCCAGATTCTTTCCTGCATCCCAGACTTCTCCCAGACATACTCCAAGCAAGGAACTGTTAGGGTCTATCTTCCAGACAACCCCCCCACCAAAAATTAATTAATTAATTTAATGCCTCTTTTTCTAATGTTCTTTATTTGTATCCAGAACCTTCTTAATCTCTCTCAGATGTGCCTCGCTGTGTTTGTGCATAAATTCGGACATGACAATGAAAACCAGAGAGCTCTGTTGCCACTGGTTTTAATTATTCGCTTTTTCCTGTAGCTCTCACCTCTCAGACTTTGTGTTTACTGTGGAAGAAATCCCAAGATGACAGATAACGCTTTGAGTTCTGGAACCATATCCCGTGTAAGTGTGTATTTCCTTCCTTCATCTTGAAATGCTTTGGTCAGGGGTTACCCAGAGCCAAGCAAGTCTTATCTTCTTAGCTACTTCCCAATTTTCCCTCTGCCAATTAGTGATAGTCCCATGTAAGCTGTTTACTCAGCCACTGAATTATTGAGAGTCTCCTGTGTGCTCAGTTTCTTTTTGGCTCAGAGTAATATTATAACAATGAAGGAACAAAATCCCTTGTGCAAAATATTGTCATATCTGTGGCCTGACAAGTTGGACATACCGGTCCTCTTGGACCATAAGAGAAAACATCATTCATCCGTACTGACTGATCTTGTGTTCTGGGTAGGTAAGAAGGAATATGTCTGGTTATCTTAATCTTCATATATGCTAACATACAAGGCTTTATGAGGCTTCTCAAGCTGATACTGTATTAAATAGGGATATAACCACGTGTTTGCCAAGAGATACATTTTGTTGTTGGATGGGCCTTCCAGACTGGCATATGATGCTTAGTCCTTGGGTACCAGTGTCAGCTGCATCAGGGACAGGAGAAAGGAAGAACTGACAGTTGTCTCAGTCAGCCAGGTATATGACTCCAATAGTCTTAAGTCTCACTAGCTTGTCTATGCGGTGAGATTTTTCTGATACTTCTGTCGTTAAAAAGGGAGACCGCACAGTGACTTGAGCATTCAGAACACTCCAATATGCAGAGCATAAGATAAAAGATATTGAGACCATCCTGGTCCACATAGTGAATTCCAGGACAGCCAGGACTACATAGAGACACCATCCCTTACCACCCCCTTCCCAAAAAATAAGAATGCTGTGAACCAAGGCTTAGCACACACCTTTAATCCCAGAAGTCAGGAGGCAGAGACAGGTGGCAGAGACAGTTTGAGGCCAGCCTGGTCTATGGAGTGAGTTCCAGGATAGCCAGGGCTATACAGAGAAACCCTGCCTTGGGGGAAAAAAATTAAGTAATTTTAATTAATTAATATTAAAAAAATAAAAGATCTTTAAAAAGCAAATTTTTTTTTCTTAAGAACAAAGAGACAGGGTCTAGAGAGAGATGACTCAGTGGTTAAGAGCACTGGCTGCTCTTCTAGAGGACTCAGCTTCAGTTCCCAGCACCCACATGGCATCTCACAGCCATCTGTAACTCCAGTTCCAGAGGATTCCACAGCCTCTTCTGGCCTCCGTAAGTACCAGGCATATACGTGAGGCACAGTCTCATGCAGGCAAAATACCTATGTACATAAAATTAATTTCTTAAAAGGAGAGAACAGTGAATGCCTGCCTCACATGCATGATGCCCTTAGTTTCAATCCCCGGTGCTCCCAGAGAGAAAAGTGAGCCAGGATGTAGCTCGGTGATGGAGTGCTTACTTGGTACTTACAAAGCCCTGGGTTTGAGCTCCAGCATGGAGTAGGGAGGGAAAAAGCATCACCTGGGAGAGCGCAAGATTGCTCATCATAAGATGCTTGCTGTCCAGCTGCATGACCTAGTGGTGCACATCTGCAATCTCAGCAGTCTGAGGCAGGAGGATCATGAAACATAACAAGACCCTGTCTCACATATGGCTCAGCAGGTAAAGGCACTCACCACCAAAGCTTGGCAACTTAAGTTTGATACTCAGACACCACAATGAATGGAAAGAACAACTTCTACAAGTCGTCTTGACCACCACATTGTATGACACGTGCACACCCACACTCACAATCAGAATCAAGATGAACTTAACTTTTTTTTTTTTTTTTTGTTAAACTAATAAAGATGTCATGAGAGCCCACACCCATTGGCAATTTACCAAGTAGGCACTCACACGCTGTGCTTGCGAACAAAAAGGGAGGTTGTTTCATCTCCCCCGCCCCAGATCCTTATCTGCACAGCCATGGGCAGCTCTGTAGTAACACAGCCTGGAATGTGGTGTTCACGCTGCCCTCCAGTTTTCAGCTAAAGCAGTGGTAGCTGACACCCCCTTCATCATCCGGAAGGTCTCCCCTGTCACCTCACCATGTGGGTTTCTGTTTTCAGGATTTGGTGACATTGTCTGATGTGGCTATAGACTTCTCTCAGGAGGAGTGGGCCTGTCTGGACTCTGCGCAGAGGGACCTGTACTGGGATGTGATGCTGGAAAACTACTGTAACCTCGTCTCCATCGGTAAGCTGTGTACTTTGGGTAGCCTAGACTCTGCCCGCTGGAGCACCAGCATTCCCCTGTGGTTTTCAGGACCGTTTTCCAAGAGACTGGATGAACCTCTTCTTCCTGTTGCAAGAGAAGGTTCTGAGCTTTGTCAGTGTGGAAGTGGAATCCCCATGCCTCCCTCCCCATCCAGCGGTTGTCCTCCCCTGTAGTAGACCCTCCTTGTGATCATCTCTCTTCTCCCATGATCAAGGGGTGAATTGGGATTCTGGATATTTATAACCATCTTCAAAGAAGGCAACCTTGTCTTTAGATGTGTTTGCACCCGAATTGCTGTGCACTTTTGTACTTTCAGGACCCTCAATCTAGAGTTAAGTCTGTGTTTTTGTTTAGCAGAAAGTAAATCAGGGCTAGAGAGAAGGTTCAGCAGTTAAGAGCACTGGCTGCTCTTCAGATGTCCTGAGTTCAATTCCCAGCAACTATATGGTGGCTCACAACCATCAGTAATAAGATCTGGTGCCCTCTTCTGGCCTGCAGAGATACATGCAGGCGGAACACTGTATACACAGCAAATAAAAAAAAAAAATAAAAAAAAATAAAAAATAAAAAAAAGGAAGAAAGTAAATTAGGTGGTGATAGCACCCCTTTAACCCCAGGCACATGCAGGAGATCTTTGTGAGTTCAGGGCCAGCCTGGTCTACAAATCCAGTTCCAGGACAACCAGGGCTGTTACACAGAGGAGCCCTATCTCAAAAAGAAAAAAGAAAGTAAATTAGATGCAGGATTTGTGTAGACCAAACTGAGTAGATTCCCATTGCCAGCATATTGTACCTGAAATGATATCAGAAGTTACAGTCCGGGAACCTTGTGCTTGACATTGGATGCACATGCCTGCAGTGCCAACACTCCACCCAGGAGCCGCCAGGGCTTAAAGATTGTCAGTTTGAAGCCAACACATCAGGACCATGTCACAAAATAAAATAATACCAAGAAAGGCTACTGTTAGGTCTAACATGCACACTTTGTTTTGTTTTGTTTTTTTTTCTTTTTTGTTTTGTTTTTTGAGACAGGGTTTTTCTGTGTAGTTCTGGCTGTCCTGAAACTCACTCTGTAAACCAGGCTGGCTTTGAGTTCACTGAGACCCACCTGACTTTGCCTCCCTGAATGCTGGAATTTATGGTGTGTACCATCACACCCGGCATGTCAGGCACTCTTCAAAACACAATATATTCACACTGGACATTTCACGAGTTTGTCAGTAATTATACTCAAGTACAAATGCTTAGTCACAGAGAAGACAGAAACTGAACTTGCCAGAATGATGTCACACTCCCTCGCTGTGAGCACTTGAGAGTTTGAGGCCAGCCTAGGCCACATAAGAACCTCAGAAATGAACAGGGTTAGGGATACAGTTCAGTTGGTAGGCTGCTTACCTGGCAAGCATGAAAGTCCTGGCATGACAAACACCCATCCCACCAGCCCCCAGGAGGCATTCCATTGTCAACTGCATAATAACTTCAAGGGCAGCCTCTGATACGGGATAGGTGAAACCCTCTATCAAAACAAAAGAGCAGGAATTAAACAGTTCTATTTCTGCCTTCTTAACTGGATAAGGTAGCTCACTCATGCAATCCCAGCATTGGGAAACCGAGGCAGGAAGATTACCATTAGTTCTTGGGCTACAGAATAAACATACAATTCAAAGTTTATCTCACTACCCCTTCTCCTCAGACCTGGTGTCTGAAGATGTGCCTCGACTGACATGCCAACCTCTCAGCGTTCCATTCCTAGGACCAGAAGAGTGACTCTGGCAGTAATTCTGCATGCTGGCAGCCATCTTCCTCCACTTACCCTGAGGGCAAACAAACATTTGTGATAGGATGTTTCCCCAATCATCTGGTTTCCTGTTTGTTCCATAAATCTATCTCTTTCATACTGTTCGGTGATGGGCACATGCCTTTTAGTCCCAGCTCTTGGGAGGCACGAGCAGGTGGATCTCTGTGAATTCAAGGCCAGCCTGGTCTACAAAGCAAGTTCCAGAATGGCCAGGGCTGTGAGATAGAGAAACCCTGTCTTGAAAAAAAAAACTGTCTCTTTTATAAAGTCTTTATCAATATCATTTTGAGTTTTCAGTCCTGATTCCCATCCCATTGTTTGAGAGACTAAAGTAAGAAGTTTGCAACGTTGAGCATGGTTAAATAGCAAGATCCTTTTAGACATTTTTTGCTTCAAGGGGTTGGCAAGATGGTTCAATAGGTAGAGACACTTGTTGCCAGGCGTGACAGTTTGAGTTTTATCGCAAGAATTTACACAGTAAAAGGACAGGACCAACTGCCACAGGTTGTCCTCTGACCTCCACGCACACAGTCATTCTTTGTAGTCAGAACATTATCTTGAAGTATGTGAAAGCTAGGCACGTGGCCTATCCCTCCAATCCCAGGATTTAAGAGGCAGGAGCAGATAACAAGAGTTCAAGGTCAGGCTGGGTGATGGTGATGCACACCTTTAATCCCAGTGCACAGAAGGCAGGTGGATCTCTGTGAGCTCAAGGCCAGCCTGGTCTACAGATCAAGTTCCAGGACAGGCTCCAAAGCTATACAACAGAGAAACCCTATCTCAACAAACAAAAAAAGAATTCAAGATCAGCCTCAACCACATCCCAAGTTTAAGGCCACCCTGGGCAATTTGAGACAAAAAAAAAAAAAAAACTGCTATAAGTCTGTGTTCCTTTTCCATGTCTGTTCTACTGGAACCTCATCCTATTTACCTGCTACTTTGTTATCAACTAAGCAAACTTCCCTAGTCCCTGCTCCTTAGCCTCCCAACTTAAGGGAGCTGGTATTCTACCTGCTAAGTTTTTCTCTTTGAATCAGATCCCACTGGCGGGCCTAGAACATGCTATATAGCCCAGGCTGGCCTCAAACTTGTGGCAGCCCTGATGACTCAGCCTTCTAAGTGTTTCAGTTACAGGTGAAGCCACTGTACCCAGATTCTACCCTCTTCTTCAGCAAGGTTTTTTTGTCTTTTTCATTTTTGTTTGGGGGGGTTGTTTTGGGTTTTTGTTGTTTTGTTTGTTTTTGTTTTTGTTTTTAAAGGCATCGTTTTCTCCGTGTAGCCCTGACTGTCCTGGAACTCACTCTATAGACCAGGCTGGTCTTGAACTCAGAGATCCTCCTGCCTCTGCCTCCCAAGTGCTGGAGATAAAGGTGTGGGCCACCACCTTTTTACATTCCCTATTATAAAAGTGTTTGTTTTTCGGTGTCTGGCTTACTTCACTTAACATAATATCCTGCAGGCTTATCCACGTCATCCCAAGTATGTATTTTGATCTCGACTTGCCCCCCACCCCAGTCCTTTATTTGGTTTTCTTGGATATTTCTAGTATGTCATCTCACCATCTGCAACATGCATTGTATCTTGTTTCCTTTTAAGACACTTGTACCCTCTTAACAGAGAATCCAAAGAGCAGCAGTCAGTGTCCTTTCCCATTTGCCTTTAGCATGAGTGCCCATTGTGTCCCATTGTGTTCCCTATGGAAGAGCTGTGGTTCTGCTGGGGAAGCTTTTGAATTGCAGTTAGTTTTAGCTTCTGATTTTCCCTTTAAAAGAAACAAGAAATGGCTCAACAGTTGAGTGAACTTGCTCTTCTTGTAGAAGACCCTGGTTTGGTTCCCAGCACTCACATGGCAGCTCACAACCATCTATAACTCCAGTTCTAAAGGATCAATGCCTTCTTCTGACCTCCTCTGACAGCAGGCGTGAATGTAATGTGCCGGGAGCGATCGTGGCATAAGCCTTAGAGATTGCCAGCCTTTTTTAGAGTAGCCCATTAAGTTAGAAGATTGCTACCTTCAGTCCTAATCAACCTTCTCACCCTTCCCAACCTCCTGACAAGTAGAATTTAGGGCTTACAGGAATGCAGTTAGGTTACTTGGTAAACCCTCCTTATACAGTTAGGGTATTTAGCAACTCCGGAGACCTCTTCCCCTGCTAACAACCTGCTTATCTCTATCTGCATTTCCTCTTACCGATACCCTGCTCGCCTTCAGTGACCCATGACTAAGAACATCATGCAGTCTGGTTACCAGGAAACAACCTCCCTCTTCTGAATCCCCGCCTTACCTAGCTTCCCGCCCTAGCCACTATATAACATGCTTGAGAAAAATAAAATTTTGCAGCTTGATCAGAAAGCCTGTCTTGCTGCCAATTTCTCATGTCTCTTGTCCCCCATTCCAGGTCCTTTGAGGTTCAGGCCCTCATTGCTGCCCTGCTGGGCGAGGCGTAATGAACATACAGACATGCAGCCAAAATATCCATAAACATAAAATAAAATAAATATTTTTTCTTAATGTTATTTTTCTTCCAGATATGGAATTATCCTATAGAACCAACATTTTAGCTATTAGAAGAAGCATTTATGGACAGAACTTTTGTGAAATGAATCCAAGTGACAAAAGTGTATCTTCCCACGGGATTGGTGAATGTGAGAGTGAGCAACTGCAGGGCTCTGGAGAGGGAAATGCCAGTACTGTAACAGACAGTTCTAGAAGGGTACCCACTGAGAGAGCATGCACACCTACACCATACGTGAGACCTCAACAGGAGATCTACTTCTTATGTCAGGACTGTGCGAAAGCCTTTAGGTCAGCATTAGAAAATTCCCACCAGTGAGAAGCCCCATGAGTGCAATGACTGTAAGAAAGCCTTCCACTGGTGCAATCAGCTTACTCAACACCAGAAAATTCACACCAGGAAAAAAAAAAAAAAAAAAAACCTTATGAACAACTGCAGGAAGGCCTTTCACTAGGGTTAGAGCCTTGTTCACACTGGTGAAAAACCATTCTTATGTAAAGATGGTGGGAAAACCTTTAGGCATGGTAAGGAACTCACTCAGCACCAAGGGTTTCATACTGGGGGAAAAAGACTATGGGTGTAAATACTGTGGGAAGACCACAAAAGAATTCACAGTGGTGGTAAGCTCTATAACTGTGAGCACTGTGGGAAGGCCTCATTAAGCATAAGAGAATCCACACAAATGAGAAACACTTTGAATGCCAAGAGTGTGGGAAGTCCTTCACTAGAGTCAATTGCCTCACTCAGCACCAGAACATTCACACAGGGGAGTAACTGCATGAGTATAAGGAATGTAAGAAGGCCTTTCCCTGGGTTTCAAGCCTTGCTAAACATGAAAGAATTCATTCAGGTGAGAAACCCTATAAATTTACAGAATGTAGGAAGGGCTTTAATTGTGGCTATCACCTCACGCAACATGAGAGAATTCACACTGGTGAAACCCCTTATACATGTAAGGAATGTGGGAAGACCTTTTTATATGAATCAAGCTTTCTTAAACATGAAAGAATTCACACAGGAGAGAAACCCCACAAATGAAAGTAGTGTGGGAAGGCCTTTAGTCCTAGTCACCAGCTTAGACAGCATGAGAAAACCCATGGCAAAATTATGTAAAGAGTGTGGGAAGATTTACAATAATATAAACTGTCTCAGAGAACATCAGGAGACACACACACACACACTGAAAGCCTTGACTACAAAGAGCATACCAGGACCTCTGTCCTGTATTCATCCTTTCCTTGGTGATTAGTTTGTCTTAAAAAAGGCTCCCATGGTCATTTGCCTGTTCATATACAATCAGAAGGCATACTAGAAGTGACTTTGGAAGAGTATAAAAGTCACTTTTCTTAATGATCATATCCTTTCCATATTGGTGTTCTTACTGGATAATTTGATTAAGTAAATCTGTAGAAGCCTACCAATACCATTGCACCTTATTACATTTCAGGTTCATTCTAGGGAGCAACCCTGCTCATATGATGCTTGTGGCAGGGCCATTAATGTTGGTGTATACTGCACCAGGTAGGAACCCCATCCTACCTTCTGTGTTCTCTGTGAGACACTCACAAGATGCTCCTTACCCCAAACTCACCATACACTGAGGTAAATTTATCGAAAATAAACTTAAGATATCTTACCAACCAAACACCATAGCTTAACCCAGACTTCTTCAAATGTGCACAGGACATGCCCTTTATTCTACCCTGGGCAAAATCATCTAACACAAACTCTATTCAGTAATATAATACTAAGTGTCTTATATGATTTCATACCAGGTATGATAGCATATGCATGTAATCCCAAGAAGCTGATGTAGGAAGATTGAGAGTTCAAGACTAGCTTGAGAAACATACCAGATTCCAGATTAGCATATATAACATGGGCCTATGTCAAAAAAAATTGAATATTGTGTTAAAAATGAAAATCATTAGTGTATCCAATACCATCATGATATTGAAGAATCTATGGTTATATTAGGCGCACTTTAGCACCATCTTTAAGCTTAAAAACCAGTGGCTGTGTTGAGTACACTTTTACAGAGTTGAAAAGTGAGTAGTTATATTGAATATGTTTTCACGCATTCTGGAGTTAAAAAATCAAGTAGTAGTTTGGGTATGTTTTCACACTGTCATAAAGTAGAAAAGGCAGTTATATTTAGTATGCTTCCATGCTATTGTAGAGCTGGAAAAAAATTAGTTTCACAGACTTGACATCACTGATTGTACTAGGCATTTTCTTGCAAAGATGAAAATAATCAGTAGTTGTACTGAACATGTTTTCACATTGTGGCAAAGTTGAAAAAAAAATCAGTAGTTGTGTGAACACGCTTTCGCACTGTTGTGATTTTAGAAGGCTGTGGTTATCTGGATGGCTTTTGTGCCATCACAAAGTTAAAAACTCTAAACTAAAACCTCCGTAAATCAAGACTGTGTGTGTTTGTAAAATATCTGTTCTGTGTATTTGTTGTACATAAAGATCGTCACACTGTGGAAATTAAATGACCAATGCAAGTAAGTACTGCCTAATACTGTTCTTGTGGTCATCACCATTAGTGCTGTTGTCATAAGCCATTCCAGGAAGATCCCCTCTGGGTTCAGTGAGAATGTCACAGGCATGGCATAAGGATGGCAGTTGCCGCCATCTTGGGTTAAGCAGTGGTTATTCTTTTTTTTTTTTTTTTTTTTTTTTAGTGCACAAACCACATTGAATGGGAAAGATCATTATACTTCATCAGAATACAGTCTGTTGACGAAGGGAAAGGGGGAGGGGCAGAGTGGGGGCAGTACTTTGTGTGCACCAATAGCCAGGCTCACAGAGACATCAGGAATCCCCAAGGGCAACAGACACTCAGAGATCACCAGGTAGCCAATAAGTAAATGGCAATGTGTCCACCTCATTCTTCAACAAGGAAATGCAAAGAAAAACCACTACGGGATGTCAGGAGAGTCATCAGAATTCCTAACATTAAAATGAGAAAGTACATCAAATAGCTCAGCACTAAAATCAGTAAGGTGGTGGATGTTTCTTCGGTTCAATCATTCTCCCGTGTATTAAAACATCCCAGTGCTCTCTACAAATGTAACATACAAAGCAAATACTAAATGTAACATAATTGTTCATCCACTGAAAATAAATCAAATTTTAAAAGTAAGTTTGGACTGCACTTGGCTAGTCAGATGAACTGCTTGTGAATTAATGGAGCCAGCAAACATTCCAAAAGGAGACAGGGGGATGAAAGTACTTGTTTGTCTTGGTGAGGGGACCAAGACCCACATGACTCCTAGAGTCCTAGGGGGATATGGTGAGCAGGGATGGGAACTAAAGCCTTCGTAAGAGAGGTGTAGAATGAGGGGAGGATTATCTTGGGGAGGAGCCTGGAATGAAGAGGATCTGAGTTTGATATGAATGGAATTAGGTCCTTTTTAAAGGGTTAAAGACAGCTACTAAAAATATTCCCTTCATCACTCCCATTGGCCCCAAATATTTAAAAAAAAAAAAAAAAAAGAAAGGAAGGAAGAAAGAAAAGTCTCGGTTGCTGGAGGTAACTTAAAGGGAGTTTAGCAGGAAGAAACTGATTGAAACAAGACATTTTACATAAATTAAAAGTCTCTGTCACCAATTCTGGTAAGAAAGATGCACAGATAACCAAGAAAATTTTGTTGTTGTTTCACCCTCTATCAGAAGAAACCAACCTCCCCTCCACCCCCACCCCCCCCCGGACTAGTTCAACACCATCTTCCTCTAATTGGTCAATTAACCAGTTCAGCTCCCTCCATCTAGATAAAGCAATACCCAATGACCAGGAAACCAAAATATTACTGCAGCCTTATTGCCTGGTACCCTGCCAGTCACCCTGGAATACACCTCTCCTGCCTATGAAGAAACCTGGAACCTCGGATTCTCATGACGCTGAGTCTTCCAGAGAAACAGGTGTACACTGTCTGGGACCTGAAAGATGTATTCTTCAGCCTCCCATTGACACAGGTGAGTCAACTCATAGTTGCTTTTAACTGGAGAGACCCAGTGGGAGGCTACATACCTGGACCAGATTGCCCCAGGATCTAGACACTAAACGCAGACTTCCCACCCTTCCATAAAGAGGTTTCGTTAGAGAACAGATTATAAATGAGCCACTGAGAGGCTGCTGGGAGAGTTAAAGACCATTGGCTACAAAATGTGGGCTAAGAAAGCCCAACTTTGTAAAAAGGCTATCTATCTTGGCCACCAGCTGAAGGGAGGCAAAAGGAATATGTCTCAGTAAGATTGCTGACATACTTCAGATCTCAACTCCAAAGACTTAGAGACAGGTTCAAGAGTTCCTAGGAACAGCTGGTTATTGCTGCCTCCAGAGCAAAACCAGAGTTTGTGGCAATAGCAAGGCCGATGTAAACCAGCATAAAACTGGGAAGTTAAGTCCCTAATCTGGACTGAGACACTACCTGAACTGGACAGGCTAGTGTGGGATGTCCTAGCCAGATGCCAGGTCTGTGCTCAAGTAAATCCAAAACAGAGAGCCATTACCCAGGGTCCAAATGAGAGACCAACACCCCGACAAAGTCTGGGAAAACTGATTTCACCAAGATCTGGCTGGCCTGCTGGGGGGGGGGGAGAGGATAAAAGTGCTTGCTAGGAAGCAGACATTCATTCACAGCTAAGCACAGAGATGAACTCCTGGAGTGCAGTTGCAGAGAGGGAGGAGTGATGAGCAAAGGGTCCAGACCAGGCTAGAGAAACCCACAGAATCAGCTGACCTGAACAAGGGGGAGCTCATGGACCCCAGAGTGATAGCTGTGAAACCAGCATAGGACTGACCCAGACCCCATGAACGTGGGTGTAGCTAGGAGGCCTGGGCAGTCTATGGGGCCTCTGGCAGTGGAACTAGGATGTATCCCTAGTGCAGGAATGGTCTTTGGGAGCCCATTCCCTATAGAGGAACATTCTCAGCATAGATACAGGGGAAAGGGCCTAGGTCCTACCCCAAATGATGTGAAAGACTTTGATGATCCCTCATGGAAGACCTCACTCCTCCTGGGGAGTGGATAAGAGGTGTGATGGGGAGTTGGTGGTGGGAAGGAGAGGGAACTGGGATTGGTATGTAAAATAAGATTGTTTTTAATTTAAATAAAAATTACTAAAAAAAAAAAAAAAACTACTTGCTAGTTTTTAAAGATACCTTTTCAGGGTAGGTAAAAGCATCCCCCAACTGGACTGAATCTGCTCAAATAGAAGCTAAAAATCTCCTCCAGGAACTGGTCCCTGATTTGACCTCCTCCTAGCAATGGGGTCCAACAATGGTCTAGTTTTCATAGCCAACATGGGTATTCTTTTGTTTTGTTTTATTTGAGACAGGTTTCTCTGTATAGCCCTGTCTGACTTGCAAGTCACTCTGTAGGCCAGATTGGCCTCTGCTTCTCTAGTGCTGGGATTAAAGGCATGTGTTAGCACCCAGCAGGCTGGGGCCCTACATCTTAAATTGAAACAGGATGAGTTCATGGTCTGACTCATTCAGTAAAACCAGTCAGGAATTTAACAGGGCCAGGACTATCACAACCAACTCCATGATGTAAGCACCACTCAGGCTGTAAAACTCAGCACATAGACAGTATCACCTGCCTAAAATGAAAGCAAAAACCTAATCTGTCAAAGTCCATAGGTGGGGAAATCTCTAAATGTACTAATCTTTTTTCTTTTTCCTTTTTTTTTTTTTTTTTTAAGATTTATTTATTTATTTATTATGTATACAGTGTTTGCCTGCATGTGTGCCTGCAGGCCAGTAGAGGGCACCAGATACCAGATCTTATTTCAGAGAGTTGGGAGCCACCATGTAGTTGCTGGAAATTGAACTCGGGACCTCTGGATGCTCTTAACCTCTGAGCCATATCTCTCCAGTCCTAAATATACTAATATTGATTTTGTGCTTCTGTAGTTCTGCTTGTGGTTTGCTGCTCTATTGGTTTAAACCCATGCCCGAGCAGTCTTCTCTGGTGAATACCCCAGAACATCATAAATAAGAAAAAGTAATGCTCATAAGACGTCAAGTTCAAGGCTGGGCTGGGCCATACAAGATTGACTTCATCTAAACAAAAAAGAAAGGAAACATATTCATTAAGGAATCATTCATTAAGCTATTCTGCAATATAGAAATAACATGCTGTTCAGAAATATTTAATTTTTATTGTTCATTAAATAACTAAAGGGATTGGGGTTTGGCTCAGTGATAGAGCACTTGCCTAACATATGCAAAACCATGGGTCCCATTTTAGTGCAAAAGAAAAAAATTTAAGGAATTTGCTCACAAATAATAACACTTTAAAAAATAAGTCCCATCTACAGCCTACAAATATTCAAGCTTTTCCTTAACCTGAGGACACCTACAGGACTTGCCTCCGATATACAAGGCTCTAAGTTCAATGACCAGGGCTGCCTTCCCCCTACACACAGACACCCATAGGGTCTTTCTGCACCTAAGCTAATTCAACACTGGAAGTTTGTTCCTGGACAGTTTGGGAGCTTGAGGCTGTTGCTTTTGGATGTTGGTCATCCTTCTCTTCCAAGCTGTGCCGGATCCCGTATCCAAAATAGATAGCAAATCCTAAAAGGGGACAGAGACAGAGACAGTGAGGTGCAAATGGTGGCCGCTCTACCTGGATGCCTATCAGGGACTCTCCACATGGCCCCCAGGCAGTTTCAAAGACAGGCCATGAGAAGAGTATTGAATTCAGTTGCCCCGGTATCTCTCCCCCAGAAAGCTATTCACTCACCAATCATCATCCAGATTCCAAATCGAGCCCAGGTCCCGGCAGTCATTTGCATCATCAGGTACACATTCACAAAGATACTCAACACAGGGAGCAGGGGCACAGCTGGTACCTGTGATGACAGCCTATGAGAGCTTGTGCACACAGACACCTGAGCTCTCTCCACCCAGGGTAGGAGAACCAGCCCTATCTAGGATCTATGGTCAGTGCCTGCTCATACTGGAGACCCCATGGCATGCGCCAGGAGGGACAGATACTGAGCCCAGGAGCACCGGGCTGGGACTTGTGAGTAAATAAATGACTTTTTTGTTGTTGTTGTTGTTCCTTTGGTTGGTTTTCTCAAGAAACCCTGTAGCCCTGGCTGTCCTGGAACTCGCTCTGTAGACCAGGCGAGCCTCAAACTCAGAGGTCTACCTGCCTCTGCCTAGCAAGTGCTGCAGTTAAAGGCATGGGCCACCACACCTGGCAGCAGATGTCTTCTTTTTTTGGATATAGGCTCTCAAATATCCCAGGCTGACCTTGAGCTCAATAGATAGTTGAGGAGGATCCTGATGTTCCAGCCCCTAGCTCCCCTGTGCTGGGATTACAGTAATACACCACTGCTTCTGGTTTTTGCCCTGTTGGGATCAAGCTCAAAGCTTCACGCATTCTAAGCTATTGATCCGACATCTGACTACATTCCCACCACCTTTTATTCAGTACTGGGGATTATATGTACATATATATCATATGCAGATTAAGCAAGCACTCTACCACGGAGTTACGTCTCCCAGACTTGGGGGTGAAGGGCACTTTGGGTTGGTTTGGGTTTATTTAGGGGGAGATTGTTTTTCTTTATTTTTGTTGTTTTGTTTCAGTTGGTTCTTTGAGACAGGGCCTCATGTCGCTAAGCTCCGTAGGTCTCAAACTCTCTTGAATTCCTGATCTTTCTCCCTCTGCTTCCCTAGAATTAAAAGTATAAGAACGTACCCAGGCAGTAGTGGCACATGCCTTTAATCCCAGCACCTGGGGCGGCAGAGACTGTGGATCACTGAGTTTGAGGCTAGTCTGGTCTACAGAGCTAGAAACCTCAGAGACTTCCCCTGCTTCTGTCTCCCGGGGGCTGAGATTAAACACAAGGACCACTGGGCCCGGCCCATCTATTGGTTTCCAACAGTTCCCCACCCTTCCCTCGCCTGGCGATGTGAAGCATGCTTAGACCTTCAGTCAGGCAGGACCACTCTCTTAGGCTGGCGTACCTGAGCAAAGCCAGTCACCTACCTTGAAGTAGAGAGGAGTGCTGCTCTGTGGCTGCCTCCAGATGACAACAACCATCCCGACAATGAGTAGCAGCAGGGAGGCAGCCACAGCTATCAAAACCGGGTCTCCAGAGAATAGCTGTTCATACCATTGGGCCAGGACCAAGCACAGGAACAACAGAAGGAGGACTGAAAATCAAGTGGAGGGGAAGCATATCAGGACCCTGGGGCACATCCCAAATCTGTTTGTAATGTGCCCCCCCCCTGCTAGTGACGTCTTCCCCATGCTATCAGCTTCCCTCCAAATGCCCAAGGGGAAAGCCCCACTGCTCACCAAGCAGGGAGGCACACCCATAGACAATACGGCCAGATCTCAGAGTCGGGGTGGTATCTGAGGGGATACAGAGGCTCCTTGCAATTCCTGGAGTCCCTGCTGCAGAAATGGGATCCATGGATGAACATAGCTCAAGAGCAGGCTCCATCTCGACAGCTCCATTCTCGGATTCCTCCTTCTTACAGGAGCTTAAGTTCTGGTCTGGCTGGTACCTGAGTGAATGGGATAGCACGGGAACATTACCAGCTGGCCCCCCTGTATCCCACCGTCAGCCATAGTTAGCACCCAGCCAACTTTATGGGCCCATAACCCTCATCCAAGGTATAGTGGGGTCTCACCTGAGGACCAGAACAGAGAAGGCCACCAAGGAGTAGGCGAGCAGGGTCCCTATGGATGTGAGGTCCACCAGGTCACTGAGCTCAACAAGGAAAGCCATAAGTGCTACAGAGGTAAGAATGCAAAATCGGCGTCAAAACTGTGAGGAATTAGCTAGTGGACACAGCCAAGCTGATGGAGTTGATGAGGCTGGCTGCCTACCTGCAATGGTTCCACAAAGGATAGTGGCCAGGACAGGGGTGTGTGTTCGGGGATGTACACGGGCAAGTCTCCGGAACAGAAGCCCATCCTCTGCCATGGAATAGACCACCCGAGGCACGGGGAAGATGGCACCTAGGAGGCTATAAAAGCAAAGGAGACTCTAAATGATGACAATAGGCAGGCCCGGCTCCTTTAGACATTTCCCTTCCCTCTCTTCTCTGCATCTCAGAGGGCCGGGGTAGCTGAAAATCCAGTAGCAGATGAGAGAAACCTTTGATACCCACCTGGATGAAAGGGCGCATAATGTTCCCACAGCCACTGCGTATTGGGCAGGGCCCCATCCAGTGTGAATAAACGCCTTAGGCAGGGGACTGTCAATGTCAATCTGGTAGTAGGGCACCATGAGGGTAAGCGCAGAGGAAACACCAAAATACATCAGGAAGCAAATGAAGAGGGAGATAACGATGCCCAGTGGGATGGAGCGCTGGGGAGAACGGACTTCTTCCCCTGCAGGGATGAAACACACTGAGAGTCAGAAGTATTCCCAGCCCACCACACAAACCCTCTCCCCTGCCATGCGCTCCAAAGCAGGCCGGTCCCCCACCAGCCCTGTGTCCAGGGGAAGTGCAGACATGTCTATGCCTTCGATAGGATGGACAGAGGGGCTACTACACCTGTAGTTGCAAGACAGTCAAATCCAATGAAAGCGAAGAAACATGTTGCTGCACCGCGGAGAATCCCACTCAAACCAAAAGGCACGAATCCTCCGGAGCCCAGAGGACCCAAGCTGCGGCAAGAGAAGGAAGGGAGGAGGAAAACATTGCAGGGGACCAGGCCACGGTGGGTTATGCCTATAATCCCAGAACTCGTGAGGTGAATACACTGGGTTGTGGGACCATAGCAGGTCCGGAGGTGGGCCCCATCATGGCGGGTGGAAGAAAGAGACTTATGTGTAAAGTTTGGGGCCGAAAACAAAGGAAGGAGAGAGAGAAGAGACAGAGACACAGAGACAGAGGGGAACAAAGAGCGCTGCCTCCTTAGAGAAAATGACAAAAGAGGGGGAAAGTGGGTGGAGTTTTTCCCTTGAAGGGCCGAGGTCTGTACACCTGCCATGCGCAGAGAGGTGGTACACTTTGCCAGGTTTCCAAGGGGCAGAGCCAGTTTTGTCTGGATTGCACCAGAAGGGTTATGGGTTCACAGCCAACTTGGACCGCATACTTGAGAGACAGCCTGGGCTACATAGAGCAAGGCCTCATTTCAAAAAAAGACAAAAAAAAAAAAAAAAATGTAAAGATTCGGGACAAGAGATGCTAAGATACAGCTGAGTTGGTACAGTGCTGGTTTAGCATACACGAAGTTCTGGGTTTGATCCCAACACCACACAGTGCATGCGTAATCCCGGCACTTGGGAGGTAGAAGCAAGAGAGTCAGAAGCCTATGGTCATCCTGGCTACTTAGGGAGATAGATGCCAGGCTGGAATCTATGGTATCCTGACTTAACAAAACACTGTGAAGGGGACTAGAGAGATGACTCGGCTGCCTGGGGCACTGGCTGCTCTTCCAGAGGACCTGGGTTCAATTCCTAGCACCCATACGGTACTTCTCAACCATGGTTAACTCCAGTCGTAAGGGATCCAAGGCTGTCTTCTGGCCTCCATGGGCACCAGGCACGCGCATTGTGAATGTAGATATATTCTGCCAAAATCACTCACGCACAAATAAATATGAAAAACTGCCAGGCTTAGTGGCTTGCCTTTGATCCCAGCACTTGGGAGGCAGAGGACAATGGGTCTCTGTGGGTTCAAGGCCAGCCTACTCTATCTACGTAGGGAGATCCAGGACGGCTAGAGTTACATAGTGAGAAAAAAAAAAACTGTCTAAAAAAAAAAAAGTTAAAGTCTTAAAAACAAATCTGACTGAAGAGTTATATACGGTTTCCACTGTGTTGGCACACAGTCCTGGGCTGCTGTGCGCCTCATCTGGGCCCACTAGGCTGACCCCGTTCTCTCCATACATTCCTGGCTTGAGCTAGCTGTGTCCTCCAGGGCCTCTGACCTGTCAGTACTGTTGGACTCTGCCACGGCCAGCTTGTAGTCATCCTCTGTCAGCTGCCAGTTGTGTAGATTGCCCTTAAAGAAGCCAGAGAGGGAGACAAAGCACAACACCAGAAGATTCACTCCTGTGAAAACTCTGGTGACCAGGGCAGACTCTCGTGCTCCTAGGGCCAGGATTCCTGAAGGAAAACGGAATGAGAAGGATGCTCTTGCAGAGGTACCCATATGGTGGCTTACAAACCCCCTTAACTCCAGTGTCAGGGGATTCGATGCCTCCTTCACTGGTATCATGGCTTCAGACAGAAGAAAGGTTTTCACGATGGCTTATCATGGTGGTAATGGTGCACACCTTTAGTTCCAGCAATCAGGAGATGGAGGCAGGTAGATCTCTGTGAGCTCGAGGCCAGCCTGGTCTACAGAGCGAGTTTCAGGACAGGCTCCAAAGCTACAGAGAAACCCTGAAAGATGGCTTATCTGCTAAAGAGGCTTGGCAAGAAGATTGACTGGCAACCTGAGTTCTGTCTCTAGGCCCTTACACGGCTGAGAGAACCAGTGTCCACCGTTTGTCCTGTGACGTCCATATGCATGTACCCACACTCATGCACACAAGCAAATGTGACTACACAAGTAGAAGCCAACTCTATATTAGTGGATCTCAGCAGAAGGTTGGGTGTGCGGGCACTTCATACATCAGGGAAGGTATACCTCATACATTCAGTGGTGAAAGCTAGGCAAGCTGTTACCCCGCCTCCTACTACATACCCTCAGCCCCCAATTGGGGGGGGGGGTCCCTTCCCTCACTCTGCCCTCCTGTGCCTGGTGTTTCACAACTTCCAGCCACCATCCTCCCACACACACTCACAGACCCTCTTCCGCCCATCTTACCACTGAGGATAATCACCAGGCCAAGCGCAAAAAAATCTGGATACTGGGCCAAGAAGCTGGGCACCTGCAGGGGGAAGGTGGTCTGCAGGGCTTGGGAGATGCGGTTTCCTATGAGGCCGTCAAAAGCTGCACTCCAGGCCCGGGCTACGCTGGCTGCACCTGCAGGAGGAATAAGAGCCTTCATTTACAAGCAGAAAGTGAGTTAGGATATAAAAAGAGAGAGAGAGAAATATCTAATCTCAATCACTGCTGTGGGGAGGCAGGTGAAAAACACAAGGGTTTCTTGGACTAGGCATTTAGTCCTGTGGCAGAGTACTTGCCTAGCATACACAAGGCCCTGGGTTGGAGCCCCAGCACTACAAAAAAAAAAAATGATAGTCTAGGGAATTTAACAGCTTAGCACGTAGACAAACACTCCAAAATGATGAGGCCCTGGTAAAGTTAACATCCCTGCCATATACAAAGAATCCCTAGCCATACCTATAGGCCTTTAATCCCAGGAGGAAGAGACCGGCAGGCTAGTCTGTAAAGTGAGTTTCCAGACATCCAGGGCTACACAAACTGTCTTCAAAACAAACACACACACACACAGAATCCTTGGCAGGGTAAGTGTAGTGACGTATGCATGTGATCCCAACTTTTAGGAGGTAGATACTGGAAGATTCAAGGTCATCTTCAGTTACCTAGGGAGTTCAAGGTCAACCTAGCCTGCCTACATAAAACCTTGACCCACCCCCCTTTAATTCCAGCAGAGACAGGGAAACTATGAGTTCAAGTTCAGCTTAATCTACATAGTCCAGGTCAATCGTGGATACATAGCGAGACCATGTCTCAAAGCAGAAGTAAGGGCCCGGATGGGGTTGAGAGGCTGCTGAGCGGTTGAGTGGTTAAGAGTACGTTGCTCTTCCATGAGACCTGAGATCAGTGTGCAGCACCCACATCAAGTGCTCCTGCTCCAGGGGGCCCAATTCCTCTGGTCTTTGCAGACCCCTGTACTTCCATTTATGCAAATTATAAATAAACCTCAAAAACAGGAGGAAAGAAGGATAGGGGAGCAGGCCAGGCCAAGTGGCACATGCCTGTATTCCTAGCCCTTGGGAAACAGAAGGAGGTATACACGGGATTCAAGACTGTCTTCTGCTATATGGCAAGTTCAAAGCCAGTCTGGGTTACGTGAGACCCTGTATCCATAAAAATAAAACTAGAACTCCCGTAAGGCATGACGGGTCTCCAAACTGTAATCCTAGTGCTGGAGAGGCAAAGCTAGGAATATTGACACAAATTTGAAGACAGCTTGATCTCATAGTGAGACCGTCTCAAACAAAAGAAAATATGTCCACTCTGCAAATCTCATTTCTTCCAAGTTAATCCCTGAAGGAGGTAGGGAAGAGAGACAAAGGCATCTCGGGCCATACACTACGCAAGTCCCACCGTCCAGGTGCTTGTGAATGAGGATAAAAACCCACTTTGCCCACCTGATCCACCTCACCCCCATGCCCATTCGAAGTCCCTACACATACTCACCAATGATGTAGGAGAGGATGAGGTTCCAGCCAGTGATGAAAGCCAACAGCTGGCCCACTGTGACATAGCTGTAGAGATATGCAGAACCGGAACACGGTACCCTGGCTCCAAACTCCGCATAACAGAGTCCAGACAGCACAGAAGACAGAGCAGCCACTAAGAAGCAAATGATGATGGATGGTCCAGCTTTTTCCCTGGCGACCTCTCCTGCCAGGACATACACGCCTGCTCCCAGGGTGCTGCCCACGCCCAAGAACACCAGGTCCAAAGTGCTCAGACATCGCGACAAGGGAGACTCAGACTGTTGATTTTTTGCCAGGGGTCGCCGGCGCACCAACTTCTGGCCAAAGTGATGGATGTTCTGCCACAACATCCTAGGTATCGCAATGAGGGATCCAAACTGCTGGAAAACAAAGATGAGATGTCAAGAATGATCAATCACCTGACAAGGTGCGGTGGCCCACACCATTATCCCAGCACAAGGGATGCAGAGGCAGATCTGTCTCTGAGAGTTTAAGTACACCATGGTCTACATAGTGAATTCCACAATAGCCAGAGCTACCTAGCCTCAAGAAAAACAAAACAAAATAATAATAATAATAATAATAAAGGCAAACACCCTTCTTGAAACCATGTGACTTAAAACACAAATTAAAATTCCACCAACACACTCTTCTTCAAAAACAACCCACCTGGCTTCCAGTCAAACCATAAAAAAATAAAATAAAAAAGCTGTAATTTAGACAGGTGTGAAAGCACCACAAGGTGTGTACGGTGGCCAGCACTCCAGAGGCAGAGGCAAGCGGATCGCAGTGAGTTCCCAGAAAGGCAGAGCTGTTACAGAGAAACCCTGTCTCAAAAAACTAAATAATAAATAGCTGTAACTTCCTGGTAGCTGAGAGCTGTTAGAGAAACCCTGTCTTGAGGAGTGATGAGCAAAAGGGGTCAAGACCAGGCTGGGGAAGCCAACAGAAACAGCTGACCTGAACAAGGGGGAGCTCATGGACCCCAGACTGATAGCTGGGAAACCAGCATTGGACCAAACCAGGTCCCTTGGATGTGGGTGTCAGGAGGCCTGGGCCATCTATGGAGCCTCTGGCAGTGGAACCAGTATTTATCCCTGGTGCATGAACGGATTTTGGGAGCCCATTCCCAATGGAGGGATACTCCCTCAGCCTAGATACATGGGAGAGGGCCTAGGCCCTGCCCCAAATGATGTGACAGATTTGATGATCCTTCATGGAAGGCCTCATCCTCCCTGGGGAGTGGGTGGGGAATGGGAGAGGGAACTGGGATTGATATGTACAATAAGTTGTTTCTAATTTACATATATGTATACATATATATACATATAAATATATATATATTTATATGTATATATATATTTAAAGAAAAAAAAAGAGAAACCCTGTCTCAAAAACTCTAAATAAATATGAATGAATGGATGAATGAACAAATAAATAAAATACCTGTAACTTCCTGGTAGCTATGTGTGAAACCCTGTCTCAAAAGGCTAAATAAATAGATAACTAAATAGATACATAAGCTGTAATTTCCTAATAGCTGTGTGTGTGCCTGTCCCCGACCCAGTCTCTGTGCACCCAATCTTCATCCTGCAGTAAGACTGAAAGGTTGAGGCCCCTCGCTCTTCCAATAAAGCAGGCTCAGTCTGTTGAGATCAAATCTGCTTCTTGCTGTCCTGGAACTCACTCTGTAGGCCAGGCTGGCCTAGAACTCAGAGATCCACCTGCCTCTACCTGTGATGAAAGGCGTGCGCCCCCCCACCTGGCGAAGTTTCAGCTTTCTGTGATCTGACTGCTTCGTTGTTGTCATGCAGAGAACCCACGTTCCGTTCTCAGCACTCACATCGAACAACACACAACCACAGGCAACTGCAGTTCCGAAGGACTACCACGCTCCTGGCCTCCACAGGGACCAGCACATAAGCAGACACATAAGGCATGATTTCTATCGCACCTGGGACACAGGTGAACCTTCAACTTAATGCTGAGATAAACTGTCCACACAACAGGATTTCAGCCAGTGGGTTGTCAAGAATGCTGAATTCTGGAATGACTCACACACCTCTAATCCCATCCTTGAGAAAGAGAGCTGGAGGAGGTCCAGGAGTTTCTGACCAGTTTTTGGTGTTGTTTTATTGTTTTGTTTTTGGAAATTTTTTTTTGTGGGATTGTTCTGTTTGTTTGTTTTAAGACAAGGTTTCTCTGTCTAATCTTGGCTGTCCTGGAATTCAGGCTAGCATGAACTTAGATCCATCTGTCCCTGCCTCCAGAGTACTGGGATTAAAATCGTGCGCCACCGCTGCCCAGTTTGTGGCCAGTTTTGACTGCATAGAGTTGTAGCCAACTCAGTCCACTTCTACCAGTGGCATCAAAGTCAGTCACACAGCATCACTGGCTGTTATAAAGTACTGACCAGGCCTAGTGTTACCTCAGTGTCCGCGAGGAATCATTTGCAGGACCTTCTGCAGATACCAAAATCCACAGGCACTACTCTCACAGAAAATGGCTGTTTTTGTGGAACCTGCCTACCCACTCCCCTTAGACACTTTTGTTACAGCTGGTGTTTCTTACAGTCCTGGGGACCAAACTCTGAGTCTCACAGAGGCAAAATACATGCTCTACTGTTGAGCAGCATACCCAGCCTCATTTTTTTTTTTATTCAACCCTCATAGATCCACATCTATGGGCTGGAGAGATGGCTCAGTGGTTAAGAGCACTGGCTGTTCTTCCAGAAGACCTGGGTTCAATGCCCAGCACCATGGCAGCTCATAATTGTCTGCAACTCCAGTTCCAGGGGATCTTACTCTTATATACACACATGCAGGCAAAACGCCCATGCACATGAAATATAAATTATTTGTTTAATCTCTACGTAGACCTAAACTCAATATTGTTAGAACATAAAGACTTTGGGAGAAATGGCTCGATAGTTAAAAATGCTTGCCTCACAGTCCTAACGACCAGAATTCAAACCCCTTGAAACCCATGTGAATGCCTGGTGGATGCCACAGCCCACCTTTAATTCTAGCCTCCAAAGGTGACAGGGGATCCGAAAAGTAAGCTGGCTAGGAAGACTAGCCGTATCAGTCAGTTCTGGGTTTGATTGAGAGATCCTGTCTCAGTGAGTAAGGTAGAAAAGTGCTGGACTTCAACCTCCACATTCACACAGCCCATCCATGTTCCCACACATGCAAACATGCATACACAGGAATACAGAGAGAGAGAGAGAGAGAGAGAGAGAGAGAGCAGGGAAAAAGAAAATAGCAGTCTTTTAGAACCATCCATGTGAAAACACAGCTCTCACCTCAAATAGGTAAAGGAAATAGCGACCAGGAACACAGAGACCTCAGATGCTGTCTGATGGCTCATGGGGTTTTGCTAAATGAATGCATTCCAAAGGGCTTTTATCTGTTAAGACAGGGAACGTCAAGTCCAATAGAGAGCTATTTAGAAAATGCCACTCAGGGGACTCAGGATAAATAATAGTCCAAGATAAATTCTAAATTGGGCTCTGGACCAGAAACATAAGGTTCTGATCAGTCATCAGTGTGGAGTTTTCAGTTTGAGGATGGAGTTCCTTTCATAGTACGAAAGCCTGGAAAGGAGCCTCTTCGCGTCCAAACACATCCAGTCCCCCTCATAAAGCAGACACTCGGTCTTGCTTTTTCCTAATCACACAGCACAAATCACTTCTCTGACCTCCAAAATGTACTAAGTAACCCTGTGTCTTAGTCAAGGTTACTACTGCTGTGATGAAACACCCTGACTAATCAGCAAGTTATGGCTGGGCGGTGGTGGCGCACTCCCTTAGTCCCAGCACTTGGGAGGCAGAGGCAGGAAAATCTCTGTGAGTCTGAGGTCAGCCTGGTTTACCAATCAAGTTCCAGGACAGCCAGAGCTGTTACACAGACAAACCTTGTCTTAAAGAGAGAGAGAAGAAAAGAAAAGAAGAAAAAACAAGTTGTGGAGGAAATGGTTTAACTTTGGTGGTTTATGCTTCCACAGCAGTGTTCCTCATCGAAGGACAGGAGCTCAAACAGGACAGCATCCTGGAGGCAGGAGCTGATTCAGACACCATAGAGGGGTACTGCTTACTGACTTGCTTCCTGGGGGCTTACTTAGCCTGCTTTCTTGTAGATCCTAAAATAACCAGCTCAGGGATGGCCCCACCCACAGTGAGCTGGGCCCTGCCCCATCAATACTAATTAAGAAAACACTTGCATACAGCCTGATATTACAGAAGCATATTTTTTTTAATTAAGGCTCCCTCCTCTCAAATGACTTTAGCTTCTGTCAAGTTGACTTAAAACTGTCCAGCATATGAAAAAAAAAAAAAATGAGAGCTACCAGCTAGATGCTCATGCATTGAGAACCCAGTTTTGACACTATCTGGAGTTAACAGTGAGTCCATAAATTGAGGGCTCCCCAAAACTGGTCTGCTTTAGACCTACATGCAACCCCAAGCCTTAGGAACTTTTAGCCTACCAGCTACACATTGGGGTCCTCAGAGCCCAAACCCCAAATTTTATTAAAGAGATAAACTGTCTCACAGAAGAAAGTCAAGGAAATACTACTCTTCCATCAATTATTTCTGGATTTGTTTTGGTTTTGGTTTTTCGAAACAGGGTGTCATTGTATAGCCCTGGCTATACGGGAACTAACTCACTTACTTAAGCCAGGCTGGACTCTGAACTCACAGAGATCTGCCTGCCTCTGCCTCCCGAGTGCTGGCATGAAAGGTGTGTACCACTATGCCATGCAGGCGTGATTGTTTTACTTATTTGACTTATGAGACAGAATCTCAGGTCTCTCAGGTTGAGTTCAAACTCACTAGATAAAAATGGCTTCAACATGTGATCCCAATGCCTCCCCTTAAAGAATTGTTGAAAATATGCACAGGTCTAAGATGCCTCACCAGGTTTAAGGAGTGCTAGAGATGAAACCCAGGGTTTCCATGGTAACCAAGCACTCTATCAGCTATGTTAAATCCCTAGAACTTGGGTTGTTTTGAGCCTGGCATGGTGGCTAGGGCTGAAATCCCAAAACCCAGGGAGGGACCTAAAGGGTTGCCAGGAGTTTGAGGTCAGCCTGGGCCACAGATTGAGACCCTGTCCTGAGAAAACTGAATAAATTAAAATAAAAGATATTCAACCCTGTAAATCCCAGCACTCAGGAAGGCTAAATAAATAAATAAATAAAATCCAAACTGGGCTACAAAATGAGTTCCTGATCCTCCTGGTGTATAGACTTGAGACCCCGAAAAGAAATAAAAATAAGTTAGTGAATGAGGCCTGGAGATATAGTTCATCCATTAAAGTCTAGGCTCAACCAAAAATAAGTAAGTGAATGGATTCATTGTTTGGTTTTTGTTTTG